ATAGAATTTAATTTAAAACAGCACGCAAAAATCCTTTTCATAATAATAGAGATAAATTTGTAAAGCAGAATTCCAAAGTATAGTGCTACCTAAAATGTCTCATGTTCTCCAACTGTCTGTTTGGATTTTGGGGAAAAGTTATTTGCTTTCACCAATAAAAGTAAATGTTAGTGACAATGCTTACCTATAAACATTTCAACTCCGAAGCAGTTCTTACTCCCATTGCCAGAGGCTCAACATAATGACAGTTACTATTCCTTAGATGACAATATTGTTGACACGATTATTCCATAGATGACAAGGTGACGAAAAAAGGATGTTGGCGAACTAAATTTCAGCATTTTATTTTTGATGTATTGAACGATGCATTACATGTGTCACAGTGCTGTATTCAGAAACTGTTTTTAGGGTTTCTTTTAGTTCAACTAGCGTATTATTCAAAATTTTTGTTATCGTTTCTGAACTCTTCAACTTTCCCTCGCATTTCCCCGCCGGGATATAACTTTAAAGTTAAGTGAAGTGAATATTTAAATAGGTGAATCTTGGAGTTTATTCAGAGCGTGTTTTGCTAGCCAGCGTACGTTTCGTTTCTGACCTTACCGTTACGTTGATACGCCTGTTGGCCATTTGAATAATTATCACGCCTGTTAGGTCGTCGAGTGAATCTAGTTTAGCCATAACTTAAAAGTGCTAATCCAGCACTGACGTGGATTGATTTGCGTTACAAATTCTTAGTTTCCACCTCAAGTTGACGGTGTTATTGTAAAGCACGAGGTATGTGTCTTTTCTGTTTATAATTGAAAATAACAAATCACCCTTCTTCTGTGCTGGTATTATTTCACGCCTGTGCGAGAAGTAGCCATGTTCATTAATAGGATCTAGATTAGTTTCTGTGGCCAAAAAGAGTTAGATCCTATAGAATTTATTCGATATTGTTAGGTTTCTTTAAATATAAACTTAAATAATAGAAATATATCATAATTTGCGATTGAAAAACCCTATCGTAAATGAAATTTAAATACGTTATGTAGATTAATCAGCAAAAGCCATCGGGGTTTCTTACACAGAAAGCATGAAAAATCAGTTGTGCCCTAGTCGGGATGCGAATTACGGATCTTACAAGTGCTATAAAGATATGCTAATCATTTACACTACAACAGCACGCATGAGAAAATTGACAATTCCTTATAAACTTAAAACAGCAAATAAAGTCCAAGTTTCATGTGCGTTACGCTACCATAGCCACTCTCAGTACAAACTACTTCAGTTATACCATCTTACTAGACCATTAATGAGATGAAGTATGAGCATAACATTTCGGACGTTTTTTAGGGTATTTAGTTTAATTAACGTATTATCGTATCATTTAAACTATGCTGTGATTTCAACTTTTTATTAGCTCTCACCAGGATATAAATGAGATATACATATAAAAAAAGTTATTTTGAAATTTAGCCAAAGAAATTTTGCAGCGATGCTGATTGCACCAACTCTGAGAAGTAAAATAAAATCATCCGTCATTAGCTTTTCTCTAGTAGAGTAATTTGCACAATCAGTTAAAACTGAACCAATATTTGTTAGGCAAAGTTCCAGAGTCAATTAATATTTAATTTTAAATCACAGTTTTATGTTACGATTTAATTCCGCAAGCATTGAAGACTGATTTGTAAGCAGAAGCCATGCATTAGTAAGCAAAAGTTTAAATTTACAAGAGAAAAATATTTTAAGCAGGGGTTCGCGAGGTATAGTATTCTAAGGGATGTGAGATTTTGTTTGAAATAAATTAATTCTTATGCAAATATTAAGTTTTGAAATACTTTCGTATTTTCATGGTTAATTTTTACTTCCTTGCACGAAATATTGTAATCGCGAAAAATTTCGTGTATCATATTTTAACAAAAATAACCATTTGGATCGATCTCTAATCCATTTGATCGAGGCTTTTGTGTGACATCTGTATTTGAACGGGCAGATTTAAGTCTCTTTTTCCCAAAACAGTGTAGAGTCGCTAGTAAGTTATTTAAAAGTAGGAAAGGTGAAAAATGAACACTGCCCTTGTCGGGAAACGAAACCTGGACCCCTCGAATACGCGCCACGCGTGCTAACCTTTATGCCACGAAGGCATGCTGAAAGGAGGGAGAAAATACCTTATAACGGATTAAAAAATGATTTAAAATGGAGCCACGAGGATATTTTTTTTCATGACGCTTGTGCGTAAGTACGTGTACGTAATTACGTATGTATCTCGCCTAACTCTAAAAGGAAAAGCTTCAGAATGTTGAAAATTTGTATATGGGACTGCTAAAATATATAATCGTGAACCCCCCGTTTTTGGTTGCTTAAAAGTGATTGAATTATGTTGTTTTAATGTTCCGGTTACGGATTTTATGGGTTTAGTTAATGTCCATGCAATAGTTGTAGAATTATCAACAATTTAAAATCAGTTTAATTGCGCCTAACTGAGTGACATTTTTTTAGATTTGAAACGTAGCAGAGTATTTTAATTAAATCACTTTCTATTTATATCTTGAGTGTCTTTTTGCCGAGTGGGACGAAAAGTAAAGTTTCAGTTTTGTGCACCGAAAAATCTGCCTTCTTAACCGCTGACGGAATTGCTTGTTTTTGAGTAGAAACTATTATTTTCGTTGTAAAAATTTTTTTTTAACTGTTTTAACTGTATTTGTTATTTGACATTTTTCTATATGTTTCAACTTTTAATGAAGATGCTTTGATTTTTTATGTATTTTTTTCATTTGCTGCGAATTGAGAACTGAATTAATTGAATGAGAAATAAATCTTTAATGAAATTCATGGAAGTACGCTTAAATGAAATGTAGCAAAAAATTTTCATAATTCAAGGAAGTCATGTGATGTCCACTTCAGACTTTTTTATTACTGATAGGCAGTCGTATGGACTTCCGACCTAAGGTTCTACACCAATCAAGAGTTATATGTCCACGCAACGGAAAAGAATCTACCATCCACCGCCAGCGGCATTCACGGTATCAATGATAGTGATATTACAATTCTAAATTGGCAATGTCATCTATACAATAATTGTTACATAATAATCGGTATGAAAAATAAATATACTACCAATTAATAATTACATTGTCATGGATAGGATCTATGTTGTGGAGAGTGGAATTTATATATTAACCAGTTTTTAAACCCATGTCTTCTTCAATATGTCATAACTTCATGTTCTTATCAGCTACACACCTAATGATTTGTGTCCTCATTATTTTTGCAGTTATCCACAGAGTAAGCCAGTTACATCAGTTCAGGCAGTTGATAGTTCCATAGCCCAAAGTATATGATGTTGTGTAGGCAATTCTATGTTCACTTTTGTTAAGTTCATCGTTCAAGTAAATACTACTTGTCCACTTCGATACATCATAACTTCGTATCCTTAACATACCTTCGTATCCTCATTATGTGCATCCATAGCAATTTGCACACTGCGTCGCAATTATCCACAAGGCATTCACGAAATTGCAATTGGGAAGTTCATTGTAATATGTACACTATTTTACTATTATCCACAGAAGCAAATGTTTTGTAAATAATGACTTGGCTCCCAGATGATAAAAAAAGAAGGAAACTATTTCTTAAATTTTTCAATACAATTAATTATAAATTGTGCAAAACTACAGATTTGTTAAACAGTTCCAGTCAATACAAATTGACGGGTATTCCAACAATATAAAGCACATATTCTAAAATAAAAAGTCTAATGGAAAACAGGAACTAATTCCCAATTAAAATAGACATAAAATACATAATCATTCAGCACATATTATATACCAATCATCATACCATAAAAATACACATGTTTCAAATGCTGCAACTAATTTTTTATTACAGTTAGAATATTTACCAATCAAAAATACTACAAATGTACTTGTTTAAAAAAAAATAAAATCTGCAACTAATTTTTTCCATGGCAGTTAAAATAATAAATTTCTTTTATACAATTATAAATAGGACAAATAAACAATATCAATCTATACAAATTGACAGGAATTCCTACAACATAAGAACACATATTCAAATATAGCTAATCATTCTTGTAAAATGGCTATAATAGTGTCCAATTTCTTCAAATAATTAAAAACATCTACAGAAAAACAGGAACCAATTCCCGATTGGAACAAGCATGAAATACCAAACATTATTCAGTACATATTATATACCAATCAATTATACCATATAAATGCACATGTTTAAAATGCTGCAACTAATTTTTCATTACAGTTAGTATAGTTATCAATCCATCATACTGTATAAATGCACATGTTTCAAATACTGCAACCAATTTTTCATTACAGTTAGTATATTCCAATTTGCCAGCTAATAAAATAAATCCGCTCTAAGTTGAATTGGCATAGTTCACAATCACTTTTTTATTACTGGAAGTTTAATATATAACTTTTTCTTGTTCGTTTTCTTAACTGCTTATGTATGTATGCGAGTATATATTAAGCAATTTAGGGGTGCGGATCATGAAAAACGGTTAGGAATCCGTGATTTAAATCTTCTTCAGATTCTGCTGTTTGTATAGCCTGACGTCTCCTGATGCTGTCAGTAGGAACCAAATCAAATTAGTTAAGAAGCCAAACTCAACATGTTTGCGATGCATAAGCAAACAGAAATTGTAGTGCGTTTTCGCAAGAAATTAATTAACATATCGTACTTGAGAACAATTTCATTAATTCGCATGTAAAGCATACATTTCTTTTTTCAGTTCAATTTAAACAGCCCTTTTGAATTTTATATTTGGAGATTTAACGGAAACGCTACAAGCAGTTTAATTTCCCCAGAATTCCGTTAATGTATATTTTGCTTCAATTATAACGGATTCAACTACGGATTTAAATCAAAGACATTAAAATAACTGTCACAGGAATCCTGGATATGAGCCTTTAGGCACTTCTACCGTGTATAAAGTCAACATTAATAACCGCTAGTCAATATTAGGCAATAAACTAGTAACTCACCATATCACTGGCATTGCTAGGTATTAATTTTGAGGTCGACAGCATACCCAGTAGCTGATGAGGGCCAAAAGCTCCCTCTGTTGGCGAAAGAACGCCATCTGTCACCCCACTGGCTGTTGACGAACTGGATAGTGAAAGCTCTGAAATAGGTAAAATGCTAAATGTATATTTGCATAGCCATAACATTTCATTTTACGTAAATAAGAATATTACATTATATCTGAAACACTGATTATGAAGAACAAAGGAATGCGAACTCAAACAAAATGTTATTTCCAACGAAATAAACGAATATAAAAGTAAATATTATAAACCAGAATGTTAGTAGGAAACTCGTGACCCAATTATTTTTGAAGATTTATTTCTGCTTTGCAGCATAAAATTATATATAATTAAAAAGATATAAGAAGTATCGCTGCACGCACGTAAAACTACTCTAACTAGATTAAAATAATTACTATTATTTAATTATTATTATTAAAACTTGAATTATTGCCATTGATGATTCTGTGCACAAATCGCTTAACATCGCGCGATCAGCAAGCGCTCAGACAGTGAGTCATAATTTGTAGTACTTCAATCACTAAAATGTGTGCGAAATGTAAGAAATAATGTTTATTTATATTTATAATACTAGGTGTCGTGGAAACTAATCGTGTCTCGTCGAAAATTATGTCAGTGCATATTTATCCTCAGTGCATCAAACAGCTGAATATGCAATCATGAGGAAAACTGCAATCTACACTGCACACGAATAGTAAATAAAATTACTACAATCACAAATCAGGCGTCGCTGCCATCTACAGAGTTGGTGAAACCGCAAACTCTGATCATTTCGATCAGAAATCATGCCGAAGGGGTTACTACATGGGCACTTTTATAGTCTTCCCAATGAATAACGTGTTATATGAATGATGTTTCCTTTAGAATGTTGGCCACTAAGACATATCCTACCTCAAGCAGATCGCGCTAGTGTAGTTGATCTAATCAAATGAAATCCTAAAGCAGCAGCAGCATTTATTAGAGAAACCGGACAAGTTTTCTGTTCAATGTTTGAATATTCTGAGATTCTCATTAGCGTATCTTGTCCCGTACCAAATATATCAGGTAATGTAAATCTGGTAAAAGCATAGTGGTCCATCAACATTAGCAAGGTACACTGTGCAAAAAAATTTATGTGTACACCACATGACTTCCTTGTACGGAATATTAAATTATACGCTTTTTTTTTAATTTCATTTAAAATGATTGGATTGAATAAAATCTACTTCGTCGACAGCGTATAAGCCACAAGAGAATAAATGCACTCTTTAAAATTCACTATATTTGTTTACTATAACGACACTCTGAATGCACAAAATTTATATTATTTGAAGAATTATCTTATCGTTGCCACATGTTCTATTCAAATACTATAATAAAGCTAGAACGATGTATAAAAGAAATTAAGCAAACAAAACAGAAACGAAACAGTTTTTCACAGACGATTTAGTATTTCTCATTCAATTAATTCAGTTCTCACTTCGTGACAAGGCAAAAATACATAAAAACTCAAAATATCTGTATTAAAAATTACGAAGTAAATCTTAAACACTTATTTCCTCGAAAAAATTCCAGAAAGGATTAAGCATGATTTAATTCGCAATAATAAATGAAAGCGTTATTTTTGTTGTTGCGAAGCTTAGTCCCTCCAGATTGGCAACAAATTTACAATTCTGCTGTTTCAAAAGTAAACAAATATGTCCGCCATGTTATTTAAAACTTAACCGCACTTAAACAGCTTTTAAATTGTTGATAATTGTACAAATATTGCTTCCAGAATTACGAAAGGCATACAAACCTTAACCGGAAGATAAGAACAACATAATTCAATCATTTTTAAAGCAAAAAATGTACACTTTTACAAACATATAAGAGTAAAGAAACTGAGATTTCTGTGCCGAGTAACAAAGTGGATATATATATAAATATAGTATTTATATACGTTTGGTGCGGCCGATTGCAACCAAAATACGAGGTGCACATCTACATGTTATAGTAGTCCTATATACAAAATTTCAACGGTTTGAGGTTACTCGTTTTCGAGTTATGCGTGATACGTACGTACATACGCACGTACGTACATACGTTCGTACAGACGCCACGAAAAATTCTCTTCAGAATTCATTTTAAAGCAGTTTTATAATTTTTTGGAGGAAAAGAGTATTTTATTCTTTCTTTACGTACAGATATCACGCAAAAACGTCGTTAAATTGCATTCGAAAGCGGTCAAAGTGGATATTTTCGTTGAAATATGTTGCTTGAAACTTTTCTTGATTGCAATATTTCCTTTTTACTTCGTACATACGTTCAAGGAAGTAAAAAATGGGACAGTTCTATTCTCCCGTTCTACTGGGCCGATTGACGAAATTCAACTTGCGTCTTTCATTTCTCGAAAGCGCGACTTAGGATATGTATTAGATTTAAATATAGCATTGTTCCAATATAGGTATTTGGACACAAAATCGGACTGTCTCTGAAATAACATACCAATTCTTTTCTATATTTCGATTCTACGGTTCAAATTACGCCAAACTGCCAAGTTTTGTAAAAATCACATGAGTAGTTTTTAAAAAATTAGCTCTCAAAATTTTAGCTCCTCGATGTTAATTGAGTTTCGTATATATTTATTAATCTCTCTTAATGTAAAAAGATAGAAACGAGGTGCTTTTTTTCCGCTTCGGCATAATGGAAAGGAAAGGAAAATTGGTTGTCATCATATATTAAGAAGTTCGCCAACTGAATTATTCTTGGAGCAAACTCAAAAAATTGCGCCAAGATTAATTTTTGAATTTCTCAGTAAATTTTGCACCAAATTTTACAGAGTTTAATATCTAGGCAAAATTTGAGTCGTAGAATCGAAATATGGAAAAAAAATTTATTTTATTTCAGAAAAAGTCCGATTTTGTTTAAAAATACCTATGTTAGAAGAATGCTATATCTAAATCTAATACATATCTTAAGTCGCGCTTTCGAGACATGAAAAACGCAATTTGAATTTTGTCAATAAGCCCAGTAGAACGGGAGATATAGAACTGTCCCCCCCCTTTTTTTTTTTTTTTTGTTCTGAGTATTTCTGGTAGAAGTGTTACCTGCCATTACTTTGTTAAAATACTATTAAGAAGGAAACTGCAATGAAAATGATTAAAATTGCAGAAAATCATCGTCATAAAACAGTCATGTTATTCGTGCTGTCGTGGCCCACCAGCGGCCGAGCGGTCAAGTCGTTGAACACTGGTAGTTCGGTCCGAAGTTCGAATCTCGTGAACGGGCTGGCTGCATTGGCGGTTTCGTGGTTTTCACCATGTGTAACGTGTATACGAGCCAGTTTCCCTTAGAAATTCCTCCACGAAGGCATCCCTTCCCTTAGGCAGATAGCCCTCGTATACTTTGCCATAATTAAATATACGAACACACCATATTCGTACTGCCATGAAACAGCCATGTTGAAGTACTTAGAGTGTGTATGGTCGCGGTTAAAGAACGGCTTCTTGGACGGTCACTCCTGATCTATTGAACATTGTGTCTGGTTAAGACTTGATGTGTAATGTCCATCTACATATAATATGTCTACATGACCTTTTAGATCTTAGTGTAAGTCCTGGTACATTGTTGAAGAACACCTGATTACATGGATACAGTCTTACATTTTTCAGGGCAAACCAAACTGTGCTTGTTTCTAGAGATTCTCTTTGTTTACTAGCAGAGGAATACGTGATGTCTTGGAATGTTGTAATTATTCCGTAAATATCTCGTGGAAGCTTAGGTGGACATACCCACACCTATTACATAGCCAGGGGATACGGTAAAAAGGTACTATTAGTGCTATTCGATATAATAAATACCGCGAAATATATATTTTCTAAGAAAACTTCAGTCAGAACAAAATGCAGAAAATGAAACAAATAATTTTTTTTTTAAATATTTATTACTTCGCTCACACTTATGTTCACTAAAAAATTAAATATATGTGTCTTACTATTTTATTTTATAGAAAAGGAAATATATATGTCTTACTATTTTATTTCATAGAAAATGAAATAACTGCACACCAATTAAAATGCATGAACTTAGTCTTAAAATAAAATTTAAATATTTTAACCTCACTCGAAGGAAACACCTTTGCGGTGTTTAAGGTTTTCAGTTCTCCTCTCCCCCCCTTTTGGGTGCTGTAAAAATGGAAAGTAAAGCCTTTTGAGAGAAATGACTGTTACAAACCACGTGTGCGCGCGATATATATAATATATTAAAATTCAGAAGCTCTCTATTCTCAGTTGTAATATATTCAGGAGCAGGAATTTACTTAGAAGTAATAACGAGCAGAATTTGGAGGCGAATGCAGATTAAATCTTCAGTTTTATTTTCGGCAACATGTTGCGGCTACATACAAGTCGGCAATTTTAACTGTGCCTGTTCCAAAAGGCTTACATTTTTGATAATTTTATAGCAAGAAAGCAGAGCATACAGACAGCAGTGTAGCTAGGCTAAAGCGTGGAAAGAAAGTGCGTAATGTTCAGGATGAAATCTCAAGTCAGACCGAATTAGTTTTTTTTCTCAAAGCATTCTGACTGGATGGTTAATATTGCTGCAAAATTATTATTGGCTGTTAAGAGTTGTAGTTCCGTTTACATCACCAGAATTACGTAAGAGTCATTTGACATAGATTTTTCTCGAAATGACGTTGTACCAATAGATGTAGCTATTTTTAGAATAGAGAAGGTAAATTAATTTACTCTGCTAATTTAATCTTTTACATATTCTTTTTCTTACATGTATATATATATATACCAAACGAGCTTCAAGAATATGCATTACATGTGTAATTGGCTTTGAATTCCTTTCTTCCGTTTGAACAACTGAATAATTCAAGAATCTGTGCACGATGATTTTGGTTCAGATTCTCTTCTACCAATCATGCTTAAAATAGTTTATAAAACACGAAGAAAAGAATTTAAAAAATAGAAAAAAGAGACTAAGTTTCTAAGAGTGCCAAGTTTATTTTTGTTTTATGGAAAATAAAAAATAAATAAATCTGATGAATAAATCACATGACTCCCTTAAACGGCCTATTAAATTATACACATTTTTTGCTTCACTTTAT